CCAAACAACTCGTTGCTAAGGGAGTAACCATCTCTTGTCCGCTTCCGCGGACGATTTCAGTCGGCGCAACTTATGCTCGGCCGACATCGCGAAGCACGGGCGTAACAATATATATATATTTTTGTATGATAAAATCATAATTGACATAACCTATAAACTAATTAATGTATAATTTCACAGATGAACAATTTTTGCGAAGCATTGTTCAACAATACAGGCAAAATGCTGAAGAATCTGCAAGATTGTCATCTACTGTAACTCAAACTGAGGAGTCCAGAGAATTGGAACAATCCCTAGAACCTGATACCATCGGTAATTTAGTTTCTTTTTACAATTTTTTACTTCTCAATAAAGAATGATCGATAGTATAAATTTGCAATAAAATTTAATTAACGACGTCTTAAAATGTTTAGATCAGTCATCAAATTCGAAATCGTTTGTGTGGCCTGATGCTGCAGTATCACCTACTAATAGAATTATACAGAGAAAGGCAACATGAATTCTGCCAGAATAAGAGAGAGAATCATTCTGGTATAAAAATGCATAATGTCATATGGAGAGAAATTGCTGCCGAAATGAAAAATAAGTATCCAGTTACTGGGATCCAATGAAACTTGCTGGATTAAAAAGGACATATAAAAAAATATATGACCAAAACAAAAAGAGTGAGGCAACATCTATAGTTCTTGGTCATTTTATTCCGTGAGTACACGAGTGTTTGTAAATATTAGTAAACTTTACGAGTTAAATATAATAGTATTTTTGTGTTTTTAGGTAATGGATTCATTAATTGGCGATAAGGCTTATATAAAACCTCCCGCCGAAGCGGAATTTCACCTCCAGTGAAGGTCCAACAATGCCGACGATAGAAAGTAGATCACCATCATCATCTGGATCATTTGCAGAAGATTCATTCAAAGGTAAAAAATGACTACTGTAATACAACGATGTTTTATTTAATAATTTTAATAAATTCCTTAACATTATTATATTAACATACATTATAGCCTCAAAAAAGAGACGTGTAGAAACGATCCTTGAAAATTATATCGACGATATAAGAGGAGAAAGAGAGATATAAAAAAACAACAAGATAAAGAAAGGAAAGAGAGGGAGAAAAAAAGAGAAAAAAGATATGAAGAAAAGAAGAAAGAGCGTGAAAGAATGCACAATGAAAATTTGGAAATTCAAAAATCTTTACTCGCCGTCTTACAGACTCTTGCAAATAAGCCTTAGATAGTAACGAAACTTATCATATACTGTGATAATAACCATACTTATGATTACGATATACTTAGTACATTACGTATACTGTGATAATAACTTACCGTTCTAGTATCTATGTATACTGTGATAATTTAATGTCAAAATGAATAATTAAAAAAAAAAAATTCTATATATAATAAAGCAATAAAATCAAATAAATATGTTAATAGTATCTGATTTATTATCTTATAATACATGAAAATATACAACTTTAATACCTAGTTAAATTTTTACAAAGTGAAAGTGAAGAACTATGGATGTTACCGCTCTTTTTGTTTTGATCATATATATTTTTTTGTATGTTTTTTTCAAGTTTTGTTGAATATTAGAGCCCAGTAATTGGATACTTATTTTTCATTTCAGCAGTAAATGTTAATAAGCGATTCTCATTCGTAACGCATTCATAATTAGAGTTCGTTTGGCTTTTCCTAATTCTGTTGCATTATTATTATGTATAATATGATCAATTTCCTCGACATGCCTTAATTGTATACCTATGGGTATTTCATCATTTTGTAAAACGCAGATATTGTGTAACACGCAGCAAGCAACAATAAATTCGGGAATTTTCTTCACATCTGTTAATGGCAGACAGTCCAGAAGGATTCTAAAACGCTCTTTCAGAGATCCTATAATACGTTCCACTGCCAGTCTCGCGGAAGATAAACAGTAATTAAAGTTTTCCTGTAGATTTGTCAGATGTCCGTTATTTCGAAAAGGCACCATTGCATACATGAGAATGAATGCCATATGCGGCATCTCCAACCAAATGTGAGTTATTTGGAAAACATTCTTCAGGCAATTCAATAAAGCGGGCTACTGAAGAATTGCGAAAAACTCTACAATCGTGGACCGATCCAACTTGTCCAGCATATAAATGTGTGAATAGTCCAAAAGAATCACATACTACTTGAGCATTAATTGAATGGTAACCTTTTCGATTTACGTACGAGTCGGTGTCTTTTGAAAGAGCTCTGATTTTGATGTGCGTCCCATCAATAGCTCCTATTACACTAGGAAAGCCATATCGCTCAAATCGAGTCATTACGTCAATAGCTTTTTGACCTCTTGGCCACTTAATATATTGAGGCGCAACACAATGCAAAGCATATGTGATTCGCCTTAATGCTCGAAAAGCAGTTCCTTTTCCAACTCCAAATTTTGTCGCTACAGGTCTAAAATAATTATATACATGTCATAATAAGCAATGAGATTTTTATTTAAAATAGTTTTTCCTATTTAAATACCTGTATGAATCTGGGGTAGCCATAAACCAAATAGCTATGAGAAGTTGCTTTCTCTCTGATATTTGTTTTCTCCCTGAGAGATTGTTAATTGCTCGTAATCCTGGACCACTTGTTGCTAGAACTATTTCGAAAGTTTCAGGAAACATTCTAAAATAAAAATGGATTTATTTTAAGCTCTATTCAGCTCTAATTGTAAGTAATCAATTAAAGAAAAATGTAGGTGATTGTTATGTATTCATTTTTTTAAATTATCCCAATTTATTTTTCAACATAAATATATATATTATTTACCGAAAATGTTCTTTGAAGACTGCTTTGGAGTAATTAGGAATAACTCGTTCCACGTAATCGATTTTTTCAATGACGAAGGTCTCCCCCGTGTTTCGCCAATCATTAACGCAGC